CGCGTTTAAAACTCATACATATCGACAAGTCTTAACTAGACGATTATACGTCAAACTAATATAAATTATATACCCACTTGACGGGACTGTGCATACATTACGACTACATATATATATATATATATATATATTATATATATATATACATATTTATATAGAACTATTATTTATTAGACAGTGAACATTCGAATTAACTCATGTCGATTTTTATTTTTCAAAAATTTAAAATTGATTTGAAATAATATAAATTAATGAACGGTGCTCGTTAAATTTTTTTTAAATATTGCAAGACATGTAGTTAGATTAATTTTCAAAAACATAATATATATTATAGTAACTTGCAGTAAATGCGTACTTCAAACTATATTATTATTTACGTGAGAACTTATACACTTCGAGACATTGCTCGAGTGCGGGGGGATAATAGCCATATATATACGCCTATATTATATATATATGCTGAGTAAAATATTGTGTAATATTTTAATCGTTATACGTATAATAACTAAATAACGTACTAATCATAATTTTATCGCGGTCGTTGCCGCTATAGTGTTCTGTTTCAGGATCATGTACAGGGTGATTTCAACAAGCATCCTATCTCTACTTTTTATTTTTTAATAGCTCATTATTTGTCGCTCAAATTTAGAAACTGTATGAGTGAGTACTTAAAAACACCATAGAAATGTTTAAATATTTAGATTTTGTACTCACTTAATTTTTACAAATCACAATATCCACGCTGTAAACTGATAAGCTACTGGGTTTTTTGAAAATGATCATGCAGTTTCCAGGTAATTAAGACTGATTAAACTTTATATACTAAGGACAATTGTCCTTAAGAGGACGTCGTACCCACATGTGTTGTTTCCGTCTTACACAAGTACGACCTACCAAATTCGACCACATTCGATAGTGCTGTTAGTTTTGATATTAGAGTGAATTGAAAAATAATACAATTTTAAAGCAAGTCATTATCTAGGGCCTCGCGTAAGCTTTTATTCATTTATTGATATTAGTTTTTTTAAGTAAGTTATGACCTTTTTGAAACTGTACATTTTAAAATTATAGTAATAATCTATTTATTTATTTTAATCCATAATAGCTCCCACATCGTATTGCCACGGCCGCCGACTATTTCATAATATATATTATACGATTATCCTTGATATACATTAAGTTTAATAGCTCGGCAACTATCGTTCAAATTTCAAGTTAAAATGCATTTAAAAAAATGCTTTAAAAACAATGAGCCATGAAAAAAGGGAGGTTGTTCTGATTTTAAAAACGAATTCTGCCACAGGACAACGCTTAAGTGTTGCAAATAAAGAAAAATGAGTGCGTCAGGCTTAGCATCATGACCGGCGATCACCCTATACATATCACTATACATAATATATTATACATTAATATAGGTAGGTTACCTATCGACGGTTTGAGATGAAAAACCGGCCACTCGTCGGCGAGTCGATCTCCTCCTCGATCATAATAATAATATTATACATACATCGTTTTGGAGACGTCGAACACACTCGCCGCGGCGTTAATTGTTTTTATTATTATTATTATTTCACTCCTCCGAAGATTGCAATCGCTCGTTCGTAATATTTTAATAGTCGTTAACGAAATCGGTACGAGCGTGTTACCTACCATCGTCGGCTATCTACGTAAAACGCATTTTATATTAATACATATCATATATATAGCAGTGCAGGTGCCCGCGCGCAACACATATAGGTATAGTATATATATATATACATCGGGCCAATTGTAATTATTTTAGTTAAATTAATCGAAAGCTTTAAATAAATTGTAAGCGATAGTACGCTTATATACATATATAGATGATCTGTATATTATACACACACTCACAAGCGCCGCGCTTATTATAATATACTAAAACGTATATCTGATCGATAATATTATTATTATTATTATACGCGTATATTATAGTATCGTAAATCGTATAATGTGTATGTATAGGTACAAAACAGCTGCGATGGTATTTATCAAAACGTTTCACACTTCCCACAGGATAGTTAATAATAATTATAATAATATAAAAGCGGCGTTGAGACAATGGTGATTACGTATATCGTGTGTGCGTGTGTGTGTCGGATAATAAAACAAGCGTACCTATGTATTTACTATATACCTATCCTACACCGGTACAACACCACCTGTGTGACGTGTAAGTACTGCAGCACCACAGATCGTCATCGCGGAGACGACCAACAGATTTTTTAATATCTTTTGATCTCATCGGAATAATAACAATAATTATAACAAGCTTAATATAGATGGTAGGTAATAATATCATGTACAATCAAACGACTTCCTGTATATTATATAATCTTAGCATGGATAACGAATAACGATAAACGCATACAACGACCAACGCGTATAGGTAATGCCTGTAGGCACAAAATATATGATAAACGATGACAGTATGACACGAATTGATGCTGCAGAATATAGAAAGAAGACCATATAGATAGGCACTGTCAAAGGAAGCCCATTGACAAGATAAAAAGTTATTATTTTTTTAGCTTTTGACTTCTAGTTGAGACTTTTAATAACTGAGAGGATTGATGGCGATCAGTTATTTTAGTTTTAACACACCAATATTTTGTCCATTATACTGATCGACCTCGTTATGCGATAATATTTTTGAAAACTGATTTGAATTCGCTATTATGTCTAATTGAAATCGATCAATCCTCCTTTCCCAATTTCTAAATATTCGGTTTGAATATTTTAAAACGTGGGGACTTTTGATCGTCAATTATTCAGAAATCTTAAAACGTGGACTACTGATCAACCTCAATGTACATAATCGACATTATAATATGAAATCATTAGGTCGATCATAATAGGGGTACATAATATATTCAAATATTCAATATTGTTTACCTACCTAATACCTTTAAGGATATATTTCTATACACTACCTATATATGATTAACCAGTTCACGGAAGCGATTCATAGTATATAGGTACTGTACTATGGGAAATATATCCGTAAAGGTTGGTTAACAATATTGAATATTTGAAAATTTGTATTATCTCCAAGTATCTCTAAATGCATTATGCATATATATATAAAAGCAACTGAAGTAGATTTGGACATTATTGTATACTGACGAGTAAACGCCAAACTCGTTAAATTAACATTTGTACCTATTATTTCATTTTACTATATTCATAGACGGTTCTGAAAAATGTTCGATTTCAATCGAACTATAAAAAAATTAAGCCGCCTCCAAGGGCATCAGAAATACAATAAACAACCGAATGCTAACAAAACCGTAGAAAATGTAAGTACGTACCCAGCTGCCAATCCATATTGTGTCCCATCCAGTTAATTAATTATTGTAATTATATATTTAAATTAGTATTAAACGCAAATCGTAACTAATATTTACATTTATGTATATATTCACAATTAACACTTTTTTAGTTATTTAGACACGTTTTTACTTTTTTTATTTTATTTAGACACGTTTTTACCACCAAATTTATGTGGTTATTTCAGTTTAATAAATATAGCCAACCACAGCGTAGTAATTTTTGTGAAACATAATACCTGCACTTTGTTCTATTTCACCTCACGATCTATTCGGTTTTCACGGGGGATACAGCTTCACAGGTCCTCCGGAATTCGTTGTTCGCAGGCTATCCTATTGTGGTCGAAAAGGGCAAATTTAGTTTTCCGTAATCGCTGTCAATCAGCATTCTTGTTTTTATTTTTTTTTTCAAACAAGGCAGTAATACCTGATTTGCTCCAAGTCAAATCAAATTTTTAATGAAAATTCGTAAATATCTCGTTGCTTAACCACAATATTATGCAAGATCATTAGTTCACTATCAGACAAAAATAGTATCAGAATAAACAAAATAAAATCCAACTATAACATATCATTGTTTAAATTAATTTTTCATTTAAGACGACATATATTTTGTAAGAATATTATACAAATTGCTGTGTTAAGTAATAGCTTAACTCCTAATAAAAGAGATTTTATTTTTATATACAAGTTTTTTTTAAAGTTATTATTCTTAAATGCTGGTACTTATTATAACATATTTGACACCCACATTCAGATACTTCAACTTTAAGATGACAACCACTCATATGTTTTTTCCATGGTATGCCACTAAAATAATTAAAGTTACAAAAATTTCAATGTTTTGAAATTGAATTTAGAAAAAAATTTATGATTTACTAAACATAAACCAATAAAACAATAGTTGGACATACAGATTTAAAGATACATTCACTATTTCAGCTAAATATTATGATGTTATCATTTGCGTTTATTGACATTATTATATTTTTTACAAATTTTAGCAAGATTTCTATATTTCGGCACAAACAGCTATGTATTTATCAAAATAACTATATTTTTATAGGCAGGTGATTTTTATAAGCATGCTCATCATATTTTTATCGTTAAATTATATAGGTATTAAAATTCAGATTTTTGGAATTTTTAAATACACTTGAAGACCATTTTTAGAATCATTGACATTTTTTGTACCACTTAAAAAAGATTCTGCGACAATAAAAAACATTAGTTTTTTAAATAGGAAACTCCCTTTTCATTTTTAATGATTGCCCGCATTTTTTTGAGAATTTTTATGTACTTAAATCAAAAGTCAAGATAATTGTATTTGAGTAATGTAACTTTGTGTGTTAAGGATAAAATGTCTACGGTAATGGGTTAAGTATATTTGGGTTATAATATTTGAAAAAGTTAGAAATTAATATTGATTAATCAATATAACAATTTGTAAAAATGATCTAAGTACAATGAATACTACATCTAATATTACATAAAGTTTATATTTTTATAGAACCATTTTATATATTATTATCTTCAAGACAAACATTTTATTAACTCAGAAACTAATCAATAGCATTTTGATTTAAATACATCAACATTTTCAAAAAAATAATCAGGTAAATAATTTTCTCATTTAAAAAATAGAAGTTTGTATCGCCACAGAATGCTGTGTACATATCAGAAACATGAATGAATGTACTATTAGAGGGTAAAATGGAAGTGAGCATCCTTTTTTTTTTTTTTTTCGTTTGAACCGACAACAGAGGAGGATCTGTGTGAACACTACTACTCCTCTGCTGCTAGTGAGCATCCTTAAAAAATCATCTTGTACATATCCAATTATATCCATTAATACACATTTCAAAAGTATATGCTTGCAAGACCACGATTAAGAAATATTATAAGCATGCTTTATCAGAATGAAATCATTAAAGTTAATATATATATTACATACATTTTAACTGTGAATAGAATATATATTAATATTATTGTAACCATATCTTCACTTTGCCTACCCGAAATCGTCATTTTGTTCATATGGAAAAAAAAGTGAGTCGTTATATATACATACATTAAACTCAATTTTTAAGTAATTACATTTCTTGAGTCATCAATTCCAACGAAAATATACAGGATTTTGAGGGTGGATTGTTCATCATATTACGAGTATAGTGTCAATGAAACTGTCAGAAAACGTAAACTTTTTGATCGTATTCAAAATGTTAATTCCCAGCTGCGCCACCACACCAGTCATCTAAAAACTATAATCTAGTTATTAGAAAAACAAAAACCATATTCATTAGAAAAAAATCACTAACCTCTTGTTTCTTAAATCAATGTAAAATGTTGAATACTAGTAGACCTCAAAACGCAGGTGATTGTTTTGGTTTAATAGGTACTTCAATTAATTTTCTTAATACCACAGACCAGAAAATATATTATTTTTAATATTATTATACCCGTAATTCTGATTTGCTGGATCCAAAATAAGCATTATGTCCATCTAGAAAAAAAATTGAGTCATTATGCACATTCGTTAAAATCAATTTTTAAGTACTTACATTTCTTAAGTGATCAATGCCCACAAAGATATGCAGGATTTTGAAGCTAGATTGTTTATCATATTGACTGAGGGTGTCATAATATTAATGTATTATGTTAAAATGTGCTTAAGACAACTTGCCTACCAAGAAAATAGAAAACAGAAGAAGGCAGAAATTAAAATATTGCCAAATTTTGTAAGACTTAACAAAAATGTATGTTATAAAACTGATTAAAAAAGTAAAAAATTATACCCAACAGTAATTATTGTAATCTTCTTCTTCAGTAAAACCGTAGAAGACCTTTAAGGTATGCATCTGATCTACTCGGCAATTTGTTGACACAGTAGTAAATAGGCATCCAATCATGCGCCTAAAATAGTACAAAATATATACACTTAATTTTTTTTACTCACAATTTTCAATGAAACAAATATTTTTTTGTAGGGTTGTAAAATAAATTTCAAGCTTACTTAGCAATAAATAATAGCTTAAAAAAAAAAACACATGAAAATGGAACAACATCCGGGTCTGTAACTTCATATGCTTTATGTCTATATGTATATGTCTATATTATATACTATATTTAGTTCTGTAATTTGTATTTGTGATTTTAAATTTTAACCTAACCTTAAATAGTATAACTGGCAGCCCTCAATTTTACAGCAACAACATTTGAAGCATATCTGAAAAATTAAGCGGAACACTGATAAGGTAGAGTTGAGTACCTCATCTTCTAAGACCATGGTGTAAGTGTAAGATGTCAATGAAAATTTCTGTAAACGGAAACTTCTTGATAAAACTGATTCAAAATTTAAATGCCCAGCAGCACTACCACACATAAACAGAAAGAATTCAATCAATATGCAAATATGAAATTATCAACTATTTTCTTGAAAACTAATCAAAATAATGAAATTATTTACCTTTTCTACCGGAACCATTAAATCAATCCAGTTTATTATTGCACATTTTATGTAAATTGGAACCACTGTATCAGTATAATATTTGTAATGGTAAAGATCGAACGTAATCGATTGAAAATCAACATTTCAACCAGATGAGTAAATCTATAAGAATATAAAATTATAAAACAAGATTATTGTTCAATTAATGTATTATTATAAAATACGTTCATGAAAAATAATAATTGTAAGATTTATGGATGATCATTGATCACCAGTGGCACATGCAACTTTGGTCTGCTGCATAATAATTAATAATATTAATAATAGTTTACAGGAGTTAACATTACATTATTATACAATCACTAACCTCAGGAGTAGGCCGGTTACTATTTCAAATCAAGAATCTATGGCTGGAAAACAAAGTATCAAAACCAATGATAGGAGTCGGGAGTTGTATAAAAAAATAATTAACTTATGGAGAAATTATTTATAAAAATCACTTTTATTTTGAAGGCTGGCTTCATTATACGTATAATCAAAGTATTGATGTATTGTTAACTTAATACTTTAAATTTTGCAGTTAGTAATTTTGTTTTATTTGACTGTAATTGTTAAGTTCTCAATTGAGTATATACCACCTACTTAATGGCTTCTATAAAAAATTTTTTTTAATAAATTAGCTAGAAGTTAAAATTTTCTTAATTTAACTTTCAAGCCTACATTTTTTAAATTTGTTTTTCTGTATGCGGTTATATGTTATTCTACCGGTTCTATGTTTAAAATGTTTAGATTATGATTTATGATTTAACAGTGAAATGAACCCGTGAAGAAAAAATGAGAAATACATTTGTTTTAATATACTGAAGGTTGGTAATCATAATTTACGATTTATAATCATTATATCGTGTAAATAATTGTATATATATATACATATTATAACACTATGAATTGCGTCGAGAATTATTAATAGATTTTTATTGCTACACATTATTACGATCATTGCTTTTTATCAGTCGCTAAGGTCGTATCGACGAAATTGATAATATGTGGTTAGCAGGATTTAGTCAAATACCAATAGAAGATTTAACGATAGTTTCGTGATCAATAACTTGTGTCTCTCCCTGAGGAAGGTCGCCGCCAACCAGAATCTCCATCTGTCGTACGAGTGCGTTTTCTCTACAACGTCTGGAAGAGGCGTCCAGCGCAAAATAAGCTGAACGGATCTATTTTGTCAAGGCCAACTACCGTACGACCCGAACATAGGCCAGGACATAGAAGTCGCGACAGCGCAGCCATCCTGTTCCAGTGTCAGTCGGCGGGGAAACCGCACAGATCGCGATCGACAAACGACTGATGGGTAATTATTGATAGATCGATTCTGGTGAAATTCACACTATTATCGTAGCGATAAGGAAACGAGATTGACGACGCGCGGACCAATGGGATTGCGTTCCGCGAAAAATTCTGTGCCCCGATTAAACGACAAACGTATTTAAAATTAACGGGAAAACCCGGTAACGAAAACTTTTCGACTATTTATAAATAATATTATTATCAAAACCGATCGTGTTGCCAATGATGACGATATTATTATTTATTCCTATAATTAGATTTTATTTCCAAATAATTTTCTTGAAGTACACCCAACGATAATGTCTCATTATATTTTAATGACCATCAAGTAAATAATATAATAATACGGTCTCGTAATACTCAAATATTAATACCATAATAGGAAAATATTTTCCCGTCATTATTTGGAAGAAATACAAAATTATATTCTTCATTTCTGCTCATCAAACTGTTGAGTTGTATTTAAACCGATATACGCCACTCGGAGTTTCTGCGATTATTCATTATTATTGTCATACTATTTTAGACGAGTGAGGCTTAAAAACAAAACCACTACTGGCTAGTATTTCACCGTTCATCAGACTCATCACTCATCACAGTGTGGCGAAACCATTTAACCATATAAATATAAATAAATGTCTTCGTAGTCGTCTCACGAGCACAGTCCATTTATTCATATATATAAGGGCGGAGCTGTACTGATCAGAATAAAAATTTTCGCACTCAACGTATTCAAGTAAATCCGCCAAATGCCGCCGTTTCTAGCTATGCGCAATACAAAGCAAACACGTACGAGATCGATCTCAATTTTAGTCAGTGTCAACACATCTCTTATTCCGTCTTATAATATCGAATTTAGTATTTTTCGTACGTCATACGTGTTCATTCTTCAGTGGTGAAAATTACAAACTTTCAAATTTATACCTAAAAACAAATCATACTTTAAACTGACAAAAATAATTGATTAAAAATGATTATAATACGGTTTTGTGTGTAAGACGAAATAGGTAAAAATTGCATACAATCTACATCCAACTCTAAATTTATATAAATATTTTTAATATTTTTATTTGGTATAACTGTATTATGCGCATAGTAAATAAGCGAAAAAAAAGCTGTAGTATACTAACGCCGGGTTGCATGAACAATCACTAAACACTTAATCAACAGTGAGCTAAATCGGCCTATAACAGGTCCATTAATAATACATTTGTCATGGGACTCGACCTAGTACGGCTGGAACTGTTGTAAATGTGAGAAACTATTTTGAATTAAATGCACACCTATATAGAAGAATGATCATAAAAAAAAATATAAATATTACATATTTTCGGGTTTCTTTGGTTGTAGTGAAAATAAAATCAGAAATAAGGTACACCATTTGTTTGGAATCGGACAATAATCTTTGTCAAAGGCCGATAGCCTTAATTGCTGCCTTTATGCATTGGCTTCCGGGGCGTTGGTAAATTTGGAGAATAATTCGGAGGAACAACTGGGATGAAACAGTATAAACTGCACTCCCCCCAGGTGGCGCCCCTGTAATTAATAATGCACGTGTGCATATATTTGTAAACAAACAACGAGTATTATTTTGCGCATCGGAGTGCAACAAACAAAAATATTATATTATTATCCACATCAGACATCAGTACAACACTATAACGATACGTGAATCTAAAGATAATAATATTTATTGGGAAGTATCTACTCGTTTTCGGGCGGCCTTTTGATGAAGTTTGAAAGCGATACAATTCTATACACCTAAGTTACAACATAGTCCATAGAACAATGTCATAACGAATTTCGGTCTTCTGGGAAAACACAACGTGGCAATAAAATATTCTACGATCGATAACAAATAACAACTTACCAATAATTAAATAATTTAAAGTAAGTAGTTACTATGTTACGACTGTTTCGGACCAATTCCGTAATAATTCCGAGTAATACATTATAATTTAATAACCTCGTACTTTAAAATATTTACAATTTTTTGGTATAATTGGGTATTTATATGTATAATATTCTAATAATTCTTAGATTACGACTATTACAACAAGTCGCATAAAGTCGAATTTTATAAATCCATGTTGGATAGTATTATGATATTGAATTGTTTAGTTAATATTAAAACACTTAACAGACCATTAATTAAATTAGTGCGAAAACAGAAATTGTTTTCTTATTTCGGCGAGCACTTGGTTTTTGCTAGAAATATTTCAAGGGGCGCCAAGTCCCTCTAGACTCCCATAGTTTGGGCCATGACCTATTGGTGTAACTCGTATGCTCATTACTCATTTTATAATTTCGAGTGTCGACCGATCGATATAATATTGCCATTTTACATAATCTGCAAATGCTTATGAATTAAATTTATAAATTATAATATGTTTTAAGTAATATGGATATTATAATATATAGTGCGAGGCCAACTAGACTGATTTAAATCGCGTGTAATACTTCAGTTATTTTATTGATACAGTTATGAATAATACCTACTAAATAATAATACTTGTATTTTATTTTAAAATTAATTTTTCCTGAATAATTGACCAACTGACAACCTGTACAGCCCTAAATACATCTCTGTAAATAATGTATTTCTACCCGGACGCATTACAGTTATGTTCCTTAGACCCAAATGTACATCTAATTGAGTAAAAAAAAACCCCTTCCCATTTTGTAGACTTCGAACTTTCAGTACACTATGTTTGCCAAACAATTGTATAGTTGTGGAGATAAAAATATGCCAAAACAATTATTAATATTAATATCAAATATTGAATTATTATATTGTATTTATTCATATTTCTATGAAAATAGTTATCTCATCCCACACTGTACTTGTTTTTTATAAGCCGATAGTAATAAATTACATGGACAAGATAACAACAGGAAAATCCAATATCAACTATTTAAGTAGTTGTTTTATCTGACCCAATTATGTGTATAAAATATAAATTTAAAATTTACGGACGAAATTTGGTCAAAAATATTATAATAATTCCAAATCTGGAACTGAACAGTAGAAGTGTATAACACCCTTGTACACAGTACTGCACAAATCATAACAATATTATATTTTAGTAGACAAGTACATAATAAACACCAGTGCATGTACACTGTTGTACTGTATACTGAATAGCATATATCATAGTATTATATTACAATTTATAGTAAGCAATATAAATGTATCAAATTATTTAAATGTATATAATTGTAATATTATTTATTGTTTACTGTTTACGTATTATTTTCTAACGATTATGAAAACAAATATTTTCTCACACATTTCATTGGTCGTACCGACAGTTTTTTTACAAGTCTCCGGAAATCAAAAGTGCCATGTTGTCATGCTTGAAATGAAAAAAAGTTATCTTTGCGCTCAACATAGTACCGTCGTATTCGAATGTCGATGCGCTGAGTGGCAATGTTTGACACTTTGACCGATGGTTTGCAGCAAAATAGGTACTATGCGACGTCGCGACCTTGACAACGTTAGGTTAGGCTGTCAAGTGCTGTTGATGTTATAATATTTATTTATTTATTGTATGTATGTAATTAACGGTCCACGGGCAAAGCCCAATGGTAAAATGTATGACATATTAAAAAACACATAAAATAGTGACATTGAGAAAATTAATAGGGTAGATTACGCGAATACGCGATTTAAAAAAGCTGGGTATAATAAACAAAATGAAAGACCGACAGTGATATTATAAAGTATGATGTTTTCTCTTTTTACCAATAAAATTAAAAATGCATTACTCATCAGACACAGATCATCATAATACCGTCATTACAGTCTTACAGCGAAACTATTTTATCAAATTAAATGTGTGACAAATGATGAATACAATATAACAATATTAGAAGGATCTTTAGGAAATCGTCTTATTTTTACGCGATCAATCTACAAAGGTGCGTGTGATTATGAGATTTTATTATGTTCGATTCCGAGTATAATGTCGACCTCGTTTATACATGCGAACACGCCTAACCGAGGGTCAAATTCAGTCATAAAATATATCGCACAATTCTAAAAATAATCCCTGTCCCAAGACTTAGGTGGATTAATCCCCCCCCCTGCCACCCAAGAGTTTAGACCTAGTTGCTCCACTGAATTCTTCACACGAATTGTAATATTAAAATACAGTAATATTATGTATTAGGTAAAGGGCGCGGGCGAGTGGACCTGTAACCGCTGTGTAACCATCAGTAACCACTATATTATATAATGTGGAGCTCGCCGGACTCGCGTGCATGACACATGCTATGCACAGTATAATAATATTGTTATTACTATATTATCATCGTCCTTACCGCGCGATATACATACATATTCATGAACAGATGTTTACGCACACACACTTCAGAACGTTAATATATTACTATACTACTCCTACTGATACTTTATTATAATAATAATTCGTGTATATTATACGCCACACTACCCTCCCCGACATCCACTATATTATATCCCGAAGCACGACGTTTCCTGCGCACACTAATTATAACGCCGGTCCGCGTCAACGTCGACGTCGTATAATAGTAATATATATTATATAAGTAACCAAAATATAGTATATGGAACGTACCTAGTTAAGCGTATTAATACAATTACGAAAACAACATATTTTTCAAAGTTAAACGAACGACTAGCTCGCGTGTACCCATACAACGAACAAACGCCACCCACCCCCATCCCCCATCCCCCATCCCACATCTCCCAACCTCATCGACGACGAGGCCGCGGGCCTAGGAAGTCGACCTAATGGTCGCTCGCCTGCAGAGTGCCCGTCGTATACTAGCTATATAATGTGTGGCGCGCACACCTAGCAACCCCCGGGGGGCCAGAGTCGCTAGCGGAGAAACGGTCATCGGTGACTATATAGGGTGGAACTGGGTGGGCGTGTGAGTGCAATAATAGCGTAATGATTATTATTCAAGTCGATGCGTTTGCGGTGTATACTGCAAGTAAATCGATTGGTGGTCATAGGTTCGCCATAATTTG